GGGATTGAGCCTAGGGCAGCACAGAAGCTAGACAAGCACTTTGCCACTAAGCTCCAGCTAGGCTGGAATCCCAGCATCTCCACACATTTTTCTAACTGGAATCAGCATGAAGCTTTCAGCCCTGTGCAGGGAATTTTGCTAGTCCTCTCGGAATTTCACCCTTTACTTATTAAAAGTGACTATCCAGATGGCTCAGCGGTTGAGAACACTGGTTGTTCTTGCAGAACAACGTGGCAGCTAACAAAAGTCTGTAACTCTAGTCCCAGGGGATCCAACAGCCTCTTCTGACCTCAAGGGCATTGCACGACACAGGAGCACTTACCTACATGCAGGCAATACACGCATATACATAAAATAAAAATAATAAACTTTTTTTTAAGTTTGAAAAAAAAAAGTGAATATCCAGGTGTCTTCAAGCCCACACCCTCAAACACACATGCTGGTATAGCTGTCTGCTTTGCTTTACAAACCCCCACTGCTTCAGAAGGTTGGCAATCCTTTCAGTTTTTTTTTCAAAACTTGACTGCTTCTCCACTTGGGATAGAACGTCCCTTTGCCAAAACAGAAAAGTGCCCACAGGCAGGAAGCCAGAGTGTGCTTGTGCTCCTGTGCCTGGCTCTGCACTCCCTTCCCCTGGAGTCCCAGCTGGCTTCAGTGGGAAGGCAGGTCCAGTATCAGTTACTGTATTACAGCAACAGGAGAGCCAACACCTGAGTGTCTTCCTGGTGTCGTTGTGTTCTCTCCACAGTAAAAGGAGTGCGGTAATAGACTCTGTGTTTTCTTCAGTGTTTCCTGGAGCTGGAAGGGTGAAAGGTCTTGGATGCAAATTGCCTCTGCACTGTTAAATGTTAACACTGTGAAAGGAAAAACTGGGGTGCCAGCAGTTTGGACCTTAATTTAAAGTGGATTGGAAGGTTGTATTTTTCCCACCCACTTCAACAAAGACTAAAATCAGAACTGCTGTTGATTTTAGAGAAAAATTGACACAAGCGGCTGGGAAATTCCTACTGATTACCATATGCTGAATTTTACTGCATTGATAAAATAGGCTAAATCTTCTTTATAAGCTGGCTTTGTAATTCTAGCACTCATTAACAAAATAATTGCAGAAGCTACGTTTTTGTTCTTCATATTTGATTTAGTATGACATAGAAGAATTCACTCATGAACTTCTACTTCTTTAACTGTTCCATTTCAGCATTCCTTCTGCTTGCCAGACACCTTAGGTATTGTTTTTAAAAGTAAAAATATCTAAATATCTAAAGATAAAATAAGAACAGTTTTATCAGAAACATTTAGCCAAGATCTTTGACGTGTCTCAGTGTAACCTCGAGCACGTTTGCAGAAAAAAAAAACAAGTAGTGTTTATAAGACAAACTATGTGTAGTGCTTTTCTGTCTTTTCCTTTAAAGTTATCTTTAAAGCCAAATTTCACCCTCTTGGGAAAATTGACCTCATTTCTGACCCCATTTGTTGGAATCTGGTGTCATCACCTACTTCATTCACAGCTTTTGCTTTGCATAGCTTTAGACTAATTTAAAGAAAAAATAGAAATGACCTTCCAAAGATGAGGGTTTTCCCGAGGGTATAGTCTCTGCGTGGAATTCAGAAGGCAAACTTTTAGAGCACTGGTACTATTGCCACGTAACTTCGTGTCATCACCTACTTCATTCACAGCTTTTGCTTTGCATAGCTTTAGACTAATTTAAAGAAAAAATAGAAATGACCTTCCAAAGATGAGGGTTTTCCCGAGGGTATAGTCTCTGCGTGGACTTCAGAAGGCAAACTTTTAGAGCACTGGTGCTGTTGCCACGTAGCTTCCTCTGATTCCTGTGTTCTGAAATGTTTCCAGTCTACCCTAACCTTCTCTACTTCTACTTGGTTTTCTTTCTAAGACTTCACTCTTGTTTAACAAGATTTGCTTTGAGCATCATATAACTAAAAATGATCACATTTGACATTGAATGTATCATTTATTACAATTATCCCATTTATTAAAAATCCTAAGCATTAAGAATACAGAAATGAATCTACAAAGAGGATTTTTTAAAAGCCTCATAGAGTTTACAGCCTTATTATATATCTTGCTAATCTAAAGAATAATAGAAAATTGCCTGTACCTTTCTTTAACTCACATTTAGAACTTTGCGCTGTTCTGATATCCTTTCTGATTCTTAGATATGCATAATGTGCTTCATAAAAAGAGTAGAGAGGGGACTGGAGAGATTGCTCAGTGGTAAAAAGTGCCTGCTGCTCTTGCAGAGGACTTGAGATTGGTTTCCCTCACTCACATTGGGTAGCTCACAACCTGTAACTCCAGCTCCAAGATATCTGATGCCTTCTGGCCTCTTGAAGGCCCCTACACCCTACAGACACACACACACACACACACACACAGTCATTAAAAAAAAAAAAAAAAAAAAGGCAAAGAAGTTCAAGAGCCAAAACCACAAAATACCAACACCTAATATTGAAGTGTCAGCATTTGAGGGTCAGGATTTGGGGGTGGGCAAAGGAAGGAGGCACTCCCCCACACCTTGACAACTTGAGCAGCCTGAAGAGTTCCCTTGGACTTTTAGGCCAAACAAGAATTCATGGCTTTGATGCAGAGAAGAATTTTAGAACTGGCAAGTTTACAAAGCAGAGTTGGGATTTAATAAAGATATTTTTATATAGACCTAAGCACAAGGTTAAGAGAAAGAGGGGCGCAAGAAGAAAGGCAGCACGCCTGGGAGTGTGGTGGGAGCCACTCAGACAAGAGCCTCACTCACTGTTTTAAATCATCAGGTTTAGGATTGTGGTGAGATTTGACGTTACTTTCCTTAAAGGGTAGCTAAGAAACCTCACATCACTGGGTGGTCCTTGAGGGGCACCTGGCAGGATTACAGTTGATAAAGTTAAAGTCTAATCTGCAGAGATGGTGGAAGAAGATAGGATATCTTTAGTGTAAACAAAGTTTTGTTTGAGAGTCTCAGGCCATGTTGGGAAAAAGAACTAGGCTGTACCCAAGATCCTGTGTCTTCAGGTCTAGGTCACTGTTACTTCTAACATAAAATAGCTTATGCATGAAATTAATATTAATTTTGTGTTGATTGTGCTGGAATTGGTGTTCTTCACTTAGCTGGTGAGAAGCTTTAATCAGACCCTAGGGTGAGGGGCTACTTTTCCTTCCATTTCCCCCTAATTTCCCTTTCTTTTTGTTCTGCCCCAGGAGGCTAGAATACTGTGGAGGTATAGGACAACCTTTACAAAGGAAGTTAAGCCATGCATTGGAAAGGTGTTAGAACAGGGGTACATTCTGTGAGTGACACAGTAAGATCAGGTGGTGAGACAGATGGGGACAGGCAATTGTGTCAAAGGTGAGAGACTGCTTTTTCCTGAATCATAAAACTAAATATTTTGTAGCTCATTTATTTTTGAACATTTGCTAAAAATATGGTTTGGGGCTGATGTTGCTTATTTTTCATAAACACTAGTAGCTAAATACAACCCTTAAACTTGTCTTTGTCAAAGATGATATGTGCTTCCATGATTTGATGCGTTCATAAGGATAAAATTGTTACTCAGCGTAACAAGATAAGTTGAAGGTTAGATTTCTCTAATGTAATAAATGAGAAAAATCAAATCAATCTTTGTACAGGTCAATCAATAAATTGAATTTCTCTTTCCTTTTTAGGATCCTCGGTTCAATGCAGAAGTTGACCAAATTACAGGTTACAAGACACAAAGTATTCTTTGTATGCCAATTAAGAATCACAGGGAAGAGGTAAGCCAAATTTTCATTTTATAAAAGTCCATTTGGAAGTAGTTTTTTATTTGAAAAACATTTTTTGCTCTTCACATATATGAACTAATACTACAGTAACAAATTATCATTTAAATTAGCATATAAATACTTAAATGTTCTGCTTGATGATTTCTGGTTAAACTATAGTTACAGCTTTGCATCTTGGTAGAGGCTATGACCATAAACATAGAAACAAATTTCGTTCATGTCATTTCCTGCTGCCCTTATTCAGCTGTGGGGTGTCCCATTCTGTTTTACATATGTAATTATGATTGTGATTAGAATGAATTTATTTCCTATTGTATGTTAACCGTCTAAATAATACTTATTTCACAAATGGTCATCCAATTACAATGGTCATCAGTTGATTTCTTTGGATTTTACATTGCAGTTTTGAAAAGGTAGAAAGAGGTCATTTTAATGGTATACATTTAGATGCAGAATTATAACAGGGGAGTGAAAATATTTAGCTGGAAGATTTGGACTCTGTTAACACTAAAACATGAAAAAAAGAGCAAATTATCAATGAAACTGAATGCTTGAATTGTACATCCGCCCAAGGCCTGAAAACATTGTGGGCTGCTAGGCAAGACTAAGTCCAGAGGCCTTAGAGCTTAGAGCTCTATCTGTGGAGGTAAGAGATAGCCATCCCAGTTCGAGAAGAGGGCAGATTTCTTCTTCCTCTGCCTGTTGGCTTTATCCAGACTGAGCTTATTGGTCATGCTCACCCAGACTGGTGGAGGCAGGATCTTCTTCACTGGTGTTTCAGATGCTGTTCCTTCCTGAAACACCTCACAGACACACCCAGAAGCAGTGTCCTACCATTTGTCAGGATTCAATGAAAGTAGGTTGATGCATACAGTTACCATTAAAATCAATTAAGCACAAATGTCCTTAGAGATTCTGGGTGTGTATATATTTTTTAAGCCACCCAGGTCGTTCCAAAAATAGCTGATGGTGAGATCCACTGTTCTGGGTGAAAGGACATGCTAAAATGCTTGTTTTCATCATCCTGAACCTCAGCTGCATAGCAGAATCATCGGAAAGCAGTTAAAATCCAAATACCTAGGTTTCACCTTAAGTCAGAATCTCTGTGATCAGAACCCAACTATCTAGTAAGTCCTGAGGCTCCGATGATGATTACAGTGTGTGCCCGAGGCTGGAACTGCTTCCTATATTAGAGATGCAGACAGTCCTCAATTTTGATGGTTCCACTTAAAATTTTCTTGATTTTTACATAGGCATAAAAGCAATACACATTCAGTAGGAACTGTACTTCAGATTTTGGATAATTTTCTAGTCTAGTGTTGTATTATAGACTACTCCCATGAAACTAGGCAGTGGCAGCGAGAGACAGCTTTGAATCAGCCATCCACTCCCAAGGGTAAGCCGCTGATACCATGCTGTTGGACTGCACTGGGCTGTTTGTTAGACCCAGTGTATTGGTTGTATCTTCTACGTTGGTTACTTTCAGCTTATGGTGAAATATTGTGACAGAACTCCATCACGGAAGGAGCGTCTGTGCTTGTTCATATTCTCACATCTTCCTGTTCTTCCATCTAGTTTATTTTTGTATTAGTTTCTTTTCTGTTGCTGTGATAAAATACCACGACAAAAAGCAACTTAGAGGAGAAAAGGGTTTATTTTGACTTCCCGGTGCACCAGGCCAGAGTCCATCATGGCAGGGAAGGCATGGCATGGTGGCAGGGGCAGGCTGCTGGCTGTTCACATTTCCGTACACATACAGGAAGCGGAGAGAGAATACAGGAAGGGGGTCAACACTATAAACCATCAAAGCCTCCCCCAGTGAAGTACTTCCTCCAGCCAGTCTCCACTTCTAAAAGTTCCATAACCTCCCCAGATAGCACCACCAAGTGGGGATCACGTGTTCAAATGCATGAGCTTATGGGAGACATTCTCATTCAGACCAGCACAGTTACCAACCACTGATTTTTACCCCTACTGTAGTGTTTCTCATTTATTTTCTTTCCTTCCATTCCTGCTGTTGTCATCATAATTCAGATCTTGAAGTAATGCATAATCTTTTAGAATGTGCTCATGAGGGGTTCCTGTACTTGAATTTAATTTCCATTTGATCTCACCTGCATGCTCTGAATATTTTCTTAAAACATGATTTTCTAAATCAGTGTTTCTAAAACATTAATGTGCATAGCAATCATTTGGAAGTATTGCTTAAATGCAGAATTTAACTTCAGTAGGTCTCTGTGGAACCTGAGATTCTTTTCTAAGGAGTGCCAACTTGGTGATGCCCCGCATCTGCAGATCATGGTTTGATGTCAGGTCATAAGACACTTCTCAGTTGTCCAAAATGACCTGTTGGATCTTGGCCACTGCTTTGTGGTTAGTTTAAGGTATTTCCAGTGAGAGGAACTGAAATTCCCCTACACCTGCAAAATGAGTATGAGATTGCTTGATTGAATGAATAGCATAGAAAGAGTATGCATGGAATGATGATAAGTGATAGTGAGGTTTGCCAAAAAGGGCAAATGAAAAACACGCTAATTCTAATATTTGGAATATTGTACTAAAAATTATTTGATATTTATCTAAATTCAAGTTTACTCAAATTTTTGTCGCAACTCTAGTTATTAAACCAAGGAGTATGATTCTATACATGTAAGAAGATGATTTTCAGCATTTATTTAGTATAATTGGAAATCTTTGCCCCCCCAAAGTATCTCTGTACTGACAGAGGACTTCTCTACACCATGCTTTAATTAAAATTTATTTCTAGATAGCATGAGAAATCTGTGTCACAATGGGAACTGGGGGAACCCAGAAGAATATGCCACAAAAATCATATGAGTCAAGTAAGGAGATTACCTGCTCTGTGCAAACATAACCCCATGATGCTCTTTCTTCCTGTTTCTATCTACCCACCACAAGAGGAGATTTGCCATTAAAATAAGCTAACAACTTTTTTATAAAGCCCAGCTATAGCAAGGTGTGATTTACGTACAACAGATTTACCCATTTTAACTCTATAGTTGGACAAATTTTGACAAATGTGCGTATAGTCACATAAACACCACTACAATCAAGACAGGATTTCTGTCACCTCAGATACTTCCCTAGACTGCTTTACAGCTGATCTCTTCTCTTCCCCCAAGCTCTAGCTCCTGGCCTCATTGATCTGCTTTTGTCACTGTTAACCTTTATTTCTAGAATAATGTAGAATTCCACATAAATGAAATCCTACTATATGTAGACTTCTGAATGTGGCGCTTACTTATCTCAGTGCTTGAGGGCTCACCCATCTTCTTACATGGTATAAGAATTTCCCCTTTTTATTGGTGAATGCTGATTGCCAATTCCACTTATTTTCCTATAGTGTCATTATTTCATTTCTCTTTATGGCTGATTAAAATTCATGCTTTTTTTAATCTTTCATGGACATCAAGGCTGACTCCATCTTCTAACTATTGTGAATAGTGCTGCATTAAACAATGATGTGCAGGTATCTCTGAATGGGTACATATCAAGGAATGGTATAAGTGAGTCATATGGTAAGTCTGTTACTGGTATTTCAGAGAAACCATACTGATTTCCATAGGGCGAAAAAATATTAATGTGATGAAGGAAAAAATACTGCTAAAAATAGTTTAAAAAGAGAGAAGTGCAACTGAGGAAGAATAAAAAACAGACAAAATAAGATCAAGAGCTATAGCTCCATTCAGGATCATCCGATGCTGGAGGCTGCAGATGTATGCGTGGATAGGGCAGCTGAACGTGTGAGCTCCTGCCTTTCCCAGGGTTTATCCTACTACTGAGTTTGTGTTCAACAAGGGTTTGACATCTGCAGGAATTGCTTTCATGTTAATAACTTCCGTTCTTTGTCTCTTCTAGGCACACTTAGCTTTTTAGTCTGTGGACTGAACTAGTTCTCCTATCCTCCTGAGACTCCCCAGATTGCGCCCCCTAGGGTGGCAAATGATCTAGTTGGGGTAGGTCTACAGAGTGACTGTGAGAAGCAACCTTAGCATTAAGGTTTGAATTTTCAAGACCCCCCACTTATGGGTCTCACTGCTGGAGGAACTGGATTCCAAGTAGACGTGGGAGCATCAGAGTTCTCAGACTCTACAGCCTGGAAGGGGGCTGGGTGGCTGCCAAGGCTGATTGAGCTGCTTCCTCAGTGAGACCACCTCCAGTGGGCAAGAAGGCCTTTCCCTGCACTTACCACCTCGGCAAGCCTCCTGCTGAGAGCCCTTATTCGCCTGTCAGTTTCTACCCCTCTCTTCCCCACAGTTGTCTTCCAGGCTGTTTCTCGCTTTGGGGGACATTGCAGGTTAAATTAAGGCTCCCAGACTTGTGGTTATTGCCTGTTGTCAGGCCCTCGGGGAGGCTGAGCTTTAAATGATAGGTTCCATTTTAGGATAATGCGCTGCGCGGCCACTCTGAGTCATATGGAGTGGCTCAGTGGAATACTGCTGACCCTTCTCCCCCCTTCTCCCCTTTCTGCAGTAGGAATCATTGTCTGACCAAAACTCACAGCTGGATTTGAGGCTACTTGAGGGTGACGGCTGTCCTGAAGGTGGGACTGCCTGGCCCCATTCAGACCATCTTCCTTACCTCTGAGATGAGGCTTCTGCCTCCCTCCCACAGAGAAGAGCCCAACTGCAGCTTTGTCTGCCGTGGTTAACTTGTCAGTGTTTCCTCCACGTTTCTATCATAACCTTTGTGAGTTTCCAAAGCTCTTCTCTTTCTCCCTTTGGAATAGAATACACATTTTCTTGTTCTGACTCTTCTTCTTTATCACAGTGGAGATGGCTGTCAGTCTACTACCACATCAGAAGTCTGTTGAGATTGTTTAACTTAAAATTTAGAGCCCCAGCTAGCCTTTCAGGAGTAATTGTAAAGATTATCTGCTCTGGGCTTATGCTATTTTACCACTTCCTGAGTGACTAGCCAGGATGCAACTGTTCAATAATCCCTTTGAGTCACACTTTTCTTTCCTGTAA